AGATTAAAGTATTACATTATTTTTTGAACACTTTTTAATAATTAGTTAAATAATCTGAGCTATCTTAAAGGTCATAAGGAAGATATCTGGATGCAATGATATTTTTTTTAAGTTATAGCAACCTCTAAAATAATTGTAAAAAAAATCCTAAGGTATGGTTAAGCTGTTTCAATAATATATAAATAAATAATTTATAAAGTATTTAAGTGCAGAATTTGCATATATAAGATTCAAAGAAATATATTATATTATTTAGACTCTTTAATGAGTAGTTAAGCAAAGTATAGAATTGCAAAGGTCATATAAAACATGTCTATGTTTTGATTAATCTAGTGGAGTTACCTAAAAAGTACAAGCAACCTCTTAAATATTTCTAAATAAATTCATAATATTGATATTAACCTTTAGTATCTAGGTTGCCATTATATCAATAAATAAATACAATCTGTAGAAACTTCTCCAAGTATCTCACAACTAAAACGGAATAACTTCAAATACTTAATTTACCATATATATTAATCTAAACCTATCACTTCAACTATCCGATTCCTCTCAGTGCATCCCGGGATTACCCAGTTCCATTCCCACACTCCCCCAACGCAGCTATGTCAATTTGTGGCCTGTTGTCTCTTCGCCCGGCTGGCATGGGAAATTGTTGGCCGTGCCACGCGGCGTATGAGCAGCATTTGTGGGGCACTTGGAGAGCCAGTTGCACATACAAATATGCAGATGCTGCAGGCACTTACAGGTGCTCGACAATTACTTTACAGGTCCGCCTGTGCAACAGTTGCATTCCCCCAGCTGCCTAAAATTCGGTGACCTGTTAAACACCTTTAAGAAACTTTTCGTTGGCCCGCTTTGTGAATCCTTAATGCCGAAATGCTGGCAGTTGACTTACTCGCATTTGCTGGGGTTTCGGTTGGCAGTCTTAATGCTTGGGATAAACCCGCTGAAAGTGGGTCAAGTCAAAATAGTTCATTTTAATTTCAGCACAGAGAGACCAAAAGAGCCAGGCTTTAATCCACAGTATAGCCTTAGTTGAGCCAGGTCGAAAAATATTCATTAAGCTATGCCAAACTTTAAGAATTTATTTAACTTTTCCTGAATCTTGTTATAGTTTTCTCATTAAGTTAAAAACTTTTAAACTATTTTCAGCCATTAATTATCTTCAGTAAAAGCTGGATAAATTTTGAACTTTTAGGTAAAATGAGTTGAACAAACTTTGTAAATTACTCTATGAATATTTGCAAAGTTTAGTGCTTATATTGATTGATTAAATTAAAAAATGCCAAGCTATTGAACCCATTATTTGTGTCCAATAGTTTCCGCTTAAGATAGCCTAGTATTTCACCCGTTTGAATCCCTTTCTATTTGACTTTATCAACTGTAAATGCTGATGTTGACTTAGTTTAATTGGAATTTCCCCCCAACCGGTTGGCTGTTCAAATATCGAGCGCGCTTTAGAGCGAAATTTAAATCGTGTTAGCCGAGCATTTCAATGCTATTCGTTTGCGGTATCCTGTTTGAGTAAATGTTTGCTTAAATTGTGGCCAAAATGGTTTTGCCTTTTTTGTCCAGCTGCAAGGGGTTGGCTTCAAGGGTTCCGTAGTTGTGGCCGTAGTCGGAGCTGCCTTCCTTGTTAATGCTAATTGCATTTTGTCTGCCAACCTGCTCGGAGCAAATGGAATTACGGAAAATAGTTGCCGAAGACAAGGGGCAGCCAGCTGGCAAGGCCAGCCCGCAAAACCGCATTCGAGCCACAGAATTGCTGGCTAATTCAATACGGCACAATTTGCTGTTCATTTCAGACTAGTTTTAGTTTTTTTTTGGATTTTTTTAATCTTTACATATAGCCGCAGGCAAAGATCAATAGAGGTCAGGCGATTTATTAGCCTGCCGCAATTTGCATTGAATATGCAATGATTTGCTCATGATTTATGGCCAGTATATCCTGCATAAGGTATGCAGCAAGCTCATCAATTAGGCACGACAAGTGCGTATGTAAAATGTGGATCGAAATGTCAATGCCGATTTATGGTTCAAAAATCGGTCAGTTGGGAGATATATGTACGAGTGCAAGGTTAGTCAGTTAAATGTGGCCCAAAGGCTTGAACATACTTGATATACGCTTCCATACATCGGTGATTAGAAAGTCCTTCCACCATTATTTTGGCGTACGAGAAGTTTGGCCAATACGCGCCAGCCATATACTGATTTATATGTTTTATTTATACCGCCAGCACAACAGCGTGCTGCCAAATACATACCTCGCATATGTATGTAATATATACCTACATTCCTCCAGCCTGGGCAAACATCTGCTGGATTCTCAACCGAAAAAAATAATATTGAGGCAGTGCTCGGTCAGGCGCAGAAATACACACACAATCGCACCAATATGCGCATATAAATATTAAGGTTTTCTCTTTTTTTTTGGGCGCACAGGAAGCCTATGCACAGATTTGCGAAAAGAAAGTTTCAAATGAGTTTCCATTGAAACGCCCTAATGCGAAATCGGGTTTATATGGCAGAAAATGAGACGTCAGACATGTCACATGCACACACATCGCACACCCATCACGCACACACCCACAGCTCAGTGAAAAGGAAAAAATGGCCAACGAAAAGAACAGAACCGAAAACAGCTTATAATGAACGAGCCAAAAGCTTGGCCATCATCGCCCAGAGTTTCCAGTTTTTTGTCATATTGCCCATACGACATGTTGGCTTCCAATTAATTCTAGATATATGTATCCCAGAGATTGATGTTTCAACGCTGATAACAGAAAATCCAGTCCCAGGCTATACCCTGTACCCCAACGATTTGCTAAATGGTTCCGTCATGTCAAGTAATCTACACTTTAGCATCTGCTGCTAAAAGTTTTAACGATGTGTCAGCTTCAGATAGCAATATATATTGTGACAAAGTTTGGAAGGGTTGGTCAGCTTTGATCAAGTGCCGCCCTCTTAACTCGCTTAAGTTGGCTCAATAAGCGAATTAAAAATGCTTGAAATGCCGCCCACAAAGGGAAAAATAAATTTACCATTTTCCAGATTCCTTTATTTATTTCTATCCCTCTAATTCCTTTTAAGCTGAACTTTTTCCGTATATATGTACTTTATCTTTGGGCAACCTGGGGACAAAATCGACTGGGTATCGATGGGTAAATACAAGTATTCCTCGGGCTCTCTCCCTCTTATTTTGTATTTCCCTCTCTTGTATAAACATCTTAATCATATTTCACTTCAAAGACCAAGAATTTCAGCTGTTTGTGCTGCTTTGAGAACTCTGTTTATATATGAATTGTGTATAAATATACGCACACATGGCTTTGTTTATAGTTTTGGCCCTGTTCGCCGACAATTAATTGTGCATTCATTTTAATTAAGACCCGTATCTCACGGGCCAAGATAAATGGCTAGTTGTGCGAAAGGGTTAACGTGCTGGCCAAGATATTTTTCAATTAGCAAATGACATTGGCATCGATTCTCGTCACTTTGCGACATCAAAATGAACTTAGCAGGCTCGGCCAGCTTATGATTTATCCTTATCTGTGGCATACTTTGGGGCGCCCCTCACGCACACACTGGAACACTAACACAGATACTCGAGAGGCCCGTACTAACGAGGCTACACCCAAAAAAAAAACAGAAAAGTAAGATTTATTGCCAGTTGTATTAAAAGAATGTATGTATACTAGAGGCAGTATTTAAACAACAGTATAGATTCCAGACTAAACAATATACAGTTTATATTTTACAGTTTCATCTCTATATTAAAGCGTCTAGAATTTGGATTTGTGTTACTATTTATAAACTAATTAATTTGGAAAGTATTAACTTAATACTCATCTTATAGACTCCATTAGTTTCTTTTCTATGACTATTTTTTTCAGTGTAGCTGGGCAGCGGCAACAGCTTCAACTTGTTGACGTTGGCCCCAGCTTCACGGCGAGTGGTGGGCGTAAAGGACGAAAAAAATAAAATCACCAGGCATAGGGAGCCAGCAAATTGTTGAATGTACATGTACTTTTCGAGTCTGTGTGGGCGGGCTTGTATTACAGTGCAGCAACCCTAATTTGAACCTCTTGTTGTGGCCAGAAATTAAATTGTATTCTTGGAGATACTTATCTGGAACTATTTCCACAAAGCAATGTTTTAAAGACCTCGAGTTTAAAGGATCCATTTGCAATTTAGTCTTTAAGCTAATAGTTTATTATTATTATTAATATTCGGTCCAATCACCATGGTATTAAAGAAATGTTAATATTTAGTGAGCTTCAATGCAACTTAACGTAACTTACTTTACTTCTGAAAGTTTCTTTCGAAACTTACTTGAATTTAACTTTATTACAGTTTCATATAATATTCTTCAAGTTCAAGTATGTTAATAGGAATTCATCGAATTATTATTAAATTATGAACTTGAAACCTAAAAGTACTATTAACAACAGTGAAATTTCTTCATTTTTAACCATTAGTTAGAACTGAACTCTTTTAAACTTTTCTTCTTTGAAAGTTTCAGAATATTTAAGTATTTTAAAACCGAATTTGTTATAATGACTTTTTTAAGTTCCGGATATATGACGAAGTCCTGTATTTTTTCCACTCGCTCTACATACAAGCACAAACACAGGCATGCAGACACACGGACGGGGAGACTCGAGTGTTGGACTAACTGTTTTGCGGCATGCCAGTGCCCAAAAGAGCGAGCGGGACGCAGCGAGGGGGCGGAAGCGGGGCAGGGGAAACGGAAATGGGGGAGAACGAAACGAGAGGAGGATGAGAACGAAAGAAAGAATGCCGGAACGAAACAGGCCTGGTCCTGCTGAAACGTTAAAGAGCAAATAAATGTCTCGCAGCAAACAAACGAAAAAGATGAAAGGGAGGAAGGGAGGGTGAAAGTGGAGAAAGTGGAGAGAGCGCAGAAGGAGCCGCAGAAGAACTCCACACACAGACACACACACAAGGATGCTGCCCGAAATACACTTGCTTATTACCGTTACATTCGGGGACTACTCCAAGAAAAGAAAGCCAGCGAGAAAGAGACGGAACGAGGCTCCTTTTTACTGCTCTTGTCGAATTTTATGTTGTTAATTTTTGTTTCATCCGAAATTTGATTGTTTTAATTTCATTTTAGCCTGGTTCGCTTTCTTTTTTATTGAAGCCCTGGCCTCTCACCTTCTTTATTTCTTTATTTATTTAACACATTTTAGCATTAATTTTTGCTGTTTCTCCCTGGCTATTTATATATAATTTTTCAAATTTTTTTGTTTTGCTTAACACACGTTGTTATATTTTTATTTATTTTTTAGCTCGGCAGGCTGTTGAATCTTTTATGAGCTAACCAATACAAACACGCACGCACACACCAACACGGTTGTCTTTTTTCACGTTGGATATTTCTCTTTTTTCCTTTTTTTGGCTGTGGTATCGCTCGGGAAAACCTCCGCCGACCGACCGACGTGTCCACAGATGGAAATCTCGCCCAACACTGAATTACCCTTGGCATCACTTCTGCTCGCTGCCCGCGTCGCTGCCGCCGCCGACGCCGCTGCCCCGCTTAACAGCCCCTGTTAGGCTAACACTATAGGTCAGTGCTAATAACAGAGACACCTGCATCGCACACAGCACATCGCACATCGCACACCGCACTTGGCCAATCTGGCTAGCCTTAGTCTGTTATTTATACGCTGTTGCATATTTCAAGCATCTGTTTTCTATCACAACTTTGTTGCCGCTCTACGCATGTGTGTGGGTGGGGATGGGTGGTAGTGGTGGGTGGTTGGGCGTGCACTGTTTACGAGCCGTCCTGCTAAGTAGTCTGTAGTTTTTTTGCGTACACATTGAGAAAATATCGCCGTACAACATTTCAAACAGTCTACCAACTAAAAAAAGGGTAATAAAATAAATACGATAGTTTCAAGGTCATAATAGATTATTATAACATGATTATAAGCTTCCACATGAAAACACACATGGCGTATGCGTAATGTTCTCGCTAAAGAATAATTTTTGGAATTTTATTGAAGCAGTTAAAAACTTTTTAAAAATTCTTGAAAATTTCTGCAAGCGACTATAAGACATATTTTTAAAGATCTACATTTTTTTCCGAATTTTATATATGTGTTATATATTTACAGGTAAACTGTACGATATTATTAATGAACATATTTTTATGTTGGTTTTTTTTAAGAGTCATATTAATATTAAAGCGATCTCTACCGAAAGTGATTGCAATAAATAAATACATTTTTTATTAATTTATATTTTTAATCGAAAATTTTAAGAAAACAATTTTAATGTGGGCTTTAAATTAAAATAATATAGTTTCCTAAGCTTTACAAAGATAAATTTATTTTTAAAAAGCTTTTTGATTCATGAAGGTATCCTTTTTCTCGTCGTGTTTAGTATGTTTTGTTTATGGAGAGCGCATTTTATGGTTCTGCTTCCGCTGCCCAAGCGGAAAACTCTTACTTTATGCCAAGCGTTTAAGTGTGTTATTATAGGCGAGCATCCTTCCACTCGGTCACCTGCCCACCCATTTTCATGCGTATATTTTAAAACCAGAACTATGGGGATTTTTATATTAAATACACAAAGAACGGAACCATGTGTTGCCGAAAAATGTAGGCCCGAAAATTGAAGCCTACCCAAAATGGCCGCCCCGCGCAGCCTCCAAAAAGCTGTTGTTGTTGGCTCGGCAGTGTGCGTAAAAGCCTATATACACACATACATATATACACATAAGTTGGCTAATGGCGGGCCTAAAGTATCCTGGGAACACATCTACATTTATATGGTACCTAAACGCTCTTGTATTTGAGTTTTATTTGAAGAGCACGCACCATTTAATTTGGCATATTACGTTTTCGGGGGGCCCACAACTTGAGTCGGGCCTAAACCACATTTAATTCGATGCCCGACTAGCTCGTTTATTAATATGCGCCGATTTTCAGCAATCTCACCGCAACAGCTGCGAACGCTTTGAGCCCCGAACTGCGACTGAAATCGAAAGTGAGTGGGCGGGGAATTTAACATTTAATTTTAGGGCCAACAGGAATGGAGACGACAACAGCAATGCGACGGCCAGGATGCCGAAAGCCTTGAAAGCCCGGCTAACAGAGCGCTAACAGCGACTGGTCCAAAAGTTGGCCAATAGGTCAGTTACACTGCAGTGGCCAGAACTCAGGACCTGCCATTTGACGCAGCTCTTGGCCAACTCCGCTGTTAAATATTAACACGTCCATCAACAGACACTGAGATTAACTAGAAGAACTTAATCTCAATAATTAACTTAACGTCACGTTGTTACGTATACCATGTTTTATTATTTTTAGAATCTTGTTCTCATTCTTTATAAAATAAAATAATATATAAGGATTTGATTTATTGGGTCCTCAGCTCATTAAACATTTTTTGAAAAATCGTTATTTAAAACTGAATTATTATTATTTAAAGGTTAATTCAACACGTGTTTTCCTTTTTAGCATTAGTTATTATTTAAAATATTTATTTTCTCGTAAAGTATTAAGTAAGTTTTTAATCTCTCTAAAATAACCTGGCCATGCTGTGACTAATTTAACTAATCATAAAAATCACAGTGAATTAAAGAAGCAGATGTCATGCTCACTTTTTCCGCTCTCATATTGTTAGATGAAATGCATTCGGGAAAGACTGAAGACCTGCCGGAAAATCCTCGAGAGCGATCGAATTGTATTGTGGCGTCATGGTTTTGGTAAGGAATTTTGCTTTATACAAGTTTATTGAAAAGCTTGAGGTAAGCTTACAATTGTTAAAAAACAAATTAGGTATACCATACCCATATTTATAAAGGGATCTAGAAAAACCTTGGATGCAAAGGACCTCTACAGACATTTGGCGGAACATAAATCAGGTATGACTAATGCGTATTACATATATCTGCCAAAAACACTATCGATTATAAACTTGTCCAACTTTTTCAGATACTCTTGGCAATAAATTGTGTGCCTCTTGGGACCAAGAACTTAAAAATGATAAGGGAAATCCGAAACTGTTGAGAGCTGTTCTTCGTGCTTTCGGCTGGCAACTTGGATTCCCTGGACTGGCACTTTTCCTAGTGGAGCTGGGACTAAGAACTTTTCAGCCTATTTTATTGGTAAAGCTTATTTCGTACTTCTCAAGCGACTCAGAAGCTGCAGAGATGGGCTATTTTTATGCCATTGCACTGATCCTAAATAGTATGCTAAGCCTGATGATCATAGCACCTGCCAATTTCGGCATTCATCATGCGTGTGAGTCTAATACGTAGACATAGCTATAATATCTTTAAACTTTTTAATTTTTGTAGGCTTTAAGATGCGGGTGGCGATGACCAGCCTGATATACCGAAAGGCCCTTCGTTTGAGCAAGAGAGCTTTAGGCGAGACGACTTCCGGTCATGTGGTCAACCTAATTTCCAACGATATACCCCGTTTGGATAGTGGAGTCTACACAGTACACTATTTATGGGTGGGGCCCCTTCAAGTTCTGCTGATCACATACCTGATGTACCAGAAGGTAAATGGATCTGTAGCTTCCTGAAAAAATATTTTAAAATTCCCTCTGCAGATTGGAATTGCTGCAGTGTTTGGTATGATCTTTATGCTACTTCTCATACCTCTGCAAATGTTTCTGGGCACAAAGACCTGGCACCTACATCTAAAAGCTGCAGAAAGAACGGACAATCGGATTCGTATGGTGATTGAAATAATCTCTGGGATTCGAGTGCTCAAGATGTACGCCTGGGAACTGCCCTTTGAAAAGATGGTGGCCCTGGCTCGCAAGAAGGAGATGAGCTCCATTCGCCAAGGACAGTACGTAAAGGGCTTTCGCTTCACCTGCAGAATCATTGTCTCCCGCGTGGCCATCTTCCTCAGCTTGGTGGGCTACGTGATCTTGGAACAGTTTTTCACAACGGAAGTGGCCTTTCTTATAACCGCCTACTACAACGTACTGCTGACCGCCATGTCCATATATTTTCCAGCAGCCATCATACAAACGGCCCAAGTCCTGGCCTCCTTTAAGCGTGTGAATAAGTTTATGCAATCCGAGGAGGTTTATAAACGGCCAAGGAATACAGAAGATAAGGAGCATCCCACATCTGTTCTCCAAAATACTGCCGTCTCCATCACCGGACTCAAGGCCAAATGGGATCCTAAATGTCCAGACTACACACTTAATGGGTTACATCTGCGAATTCAGACCGGATCTTTAGTGGCCATCATGGGATCTACTGGATCGGGAAAATCCAGTCTTATCCAGGCCATTCTCGGCGAACTGAAAGCAGAATGCGGAAAGATAAAAGTGAATGGTTCTGTTTCTTACTCCTCCCAAGAGCCGTGGCTCTTTTCCTGTACCATTCGCCAGAATATTCTCTTTGGCCAGCCCATGGATCGACAGCGCTACGAGGAGGTTCTTAAAAAGTGTGCCCTGGAGCGCGATTTCGAGCAGCTTCCTCTTAAAGATAAAACCATAATTGGAGAGCGCGGAGCTTCCCTATCAGGTGGCCAGAGGGCCAGGATCAGTTTGGCCAGGGCTGTCTACCGAAAGGCCTCCATTTACCTACTAGACGATCCTCTCAGCGCAGTGGACACCAATGTGGCCCGCCATCTTTTCGAGCAATGCGTGCTTGGCCATCTAAATGGAAGCACTGTAGTTCTGATTACCCATCAGCAGCAGTTTTTGCAAATGGTCGATCAGATAGTGATCTTGGAGAAGGGAGAAATTAGGGCTGTGGGCACCTACCAGTCGCTCCTTAAAACGGGCCTCGACTTTGTCACCATACTTGGCAAAGCGGGGAAGGAAGATGGAGATCAGAAGAATCAGGATATCTATAGCAAACCCCTTACAGAAAATATCGAGAAATCTGTACAGTCCGTCAACGATTCTAGTCCTAAAAAGATTATGAAAGAGCACCAAGAATCTGGGGGCATAAGATTGGTATTATACAAGAAGTACTTCCAAGCAGGTGGTGGATTGATAGCTTTTTTTACCATAATGAGCTGCTCTTTCCTGGCACAGATTTTGGTTTCGGGGGGCGACTACTTCTTAACTTACTGGTAAGTCCAATAATGAATACCTATCACATATATTTTCTATAAAAGCTAGCTAATTTATTTATATATATTTTTAGGGTCACCAAGAACCGCAATACTACTATCCAAAACCAAACAGAAGTTCTGGGGATTATGAACTCCGAAAGAATGGATATAAACATATTCACACTGATTATAATGTTGTCCGTTTTAATGACCTCGACGTCCTCGATTTTAATATATAATATGGCCAAGAAAGCATCTATTCGTTTGCACAACTCCATTTTCGTTGGCATCACTCGAGCTCCCATGGATTTCTTTGGAACGCATGAACACGGAAGCATTCTGAATCGGTTCTCCAGGGATATAAGCCAAGTGGACGAAAAACTGCCTGATTTGATAGTCGATTTGTTACAGACTATTTTTTGGCTGGCTGGAATAATTTGCGTTATAGCCATTGTCAACCCTGTGTTGCTGGTTCCAACATCTATTTTGACCGTAATATTCTATAAGCTACGCAATTTCTATCTCAAAACTTCAAGGGATTTGAAGCGAATCGAAGCTATATGTGAGTTTGAAATTATTTTAAAGTATGCAAGTATTGATAACAGTTAAATATTTGTATAGGTCGGTCTCCAGTCTACTCGCATTTGACTGCTTCCCTGACCGGATTGTCAACCATCCGTGCCTTCGAAGCTCAGAGGATCCTGGAGATGGAGTTCGACGACTTTCAGGATATGCACAGCTCGGCACTTTACATGTCCATTAGTACATCGAGTGCCTTTGGTTATTGGATGGAATGCTTATGTGTGTTTTACATAGCGATCATTACGCTCAGCTTTTTTGTTTTTCCTCCAAACAATGGAGCTGAAGTTGGCCTGGCCATAACTCAGGTAAGAGTAAGGAAATTATTCAAGAACAGTTTTTCTTGAATCATGAAAAAAAATTTTTTAATATAAAATATGAATTCTAGAACAAAAATTCGGAAGTACAAAAGGAGTATTCATGTCTTGAGAACATTTTATCTTGATTTTAGAATATTTGTTCTTGATTTAAGAAAATTGATTCTTGATTTTCAAATATTTGGTTTACCTTAAGGCCATGGGACTAATGGGCCTGGTCCAGTGGGGAGTACGTCAAACCGCCGAGCTGGAGAACACAATGACTGCTGTGGAGCGGGTAGTGGAGTACGAGAACATTGAGCCAGAAGAAGCACTGGAAGCGCCGGTGGATAAGAAACCACCCAAGTCCTGGCCAGAGCAGGGAAAAATAGTGTTTGATGACCTAAGTCTTCGCTACACGCCGGATCCGAGGGCGGAGAAAGTGCTGACGTCCCTCAGCTTCGTCATAAAACCAAGGGAAAAGGTGGGCATCGTGGGACGCACAGGGGCGGGTAAATCCTCGCTGATTAACGCCCTCTTCCGGCTGTCCTACAACGAGGGATCCGTGCTTATAGACACGATGGATACGAGCAAGATGGGTCTGCACGACCGCAGCCAGATCTCAATTATACCCCAGGAACCAGTTCTCTTCTCCGGCACAATGCGATACAACTTGGATCCCTTCGACAAGTACACCGATGAGAAGCTGTGGAGTTCGCTGGAGGAGGTGAAGCTGAAGGATTTGCTGGCAGATCTTCCAAGTGGCTTGCAGAGCAAAATCAACGAGGGCGGAACCAACTTCAGCGTGGGTCAGCGCCAGTTGGTCTGCTTGGCACGGGCCATTCTAAGGAATAATAGGATTCTTGTCTTGGACGAGGCCACGGCCAATGTGGATCCACAGACGGATGGCCTCATTCAAAGCACTATTCGAAAGAGGTTCAAGGAGTGCACAGTTCTGACGATAGCCCATAGATTGCACACAATAATGGATTCTGATAAGATCCTGGTCATGGATGCTGGAAGAGTTGTGGAGTTTGGAACGCCTTATGAGCTGCTTACAAATGGGGATTCTAACGTCTTCCATGACATGGTCAAGCAAACGGGTCACGCCACTTACGTAGGTCTACTGAAAATCGCTCAAAAGGTAAGTTGATATTTAATTTGCTCAATTATTTGTTTCTGATCTTTATTATTAATTTCAGGCATTTGAAACATCCCAGATCCACAGTCATTCCACAAAAGAATCTACTATTTTGTAAACTATATTTATGAATTTAGTTTTGGGACTTGTGGTCGATTTATTATACTGTTACCATTAGTTTAGGTACCTAACAAACAAAAGTGAAAGAATCAATATGATATTCCCATGGCTAGCATATTAAGTATCATTTTTACCATGGAATAGTGTTAGGTTTATATTGAGAAACAGTACTTCTTCCGTTTCTTCACTTTTAAAATTTCGTCAATTCAAAAAACATTGAAATACCGTACAAATTTTTTATGATTTCATAATAATATTAATTTTATGGTTACCCGTTTTCTATTATATCAAAGCTTATCAGAATGTTTTTCTCTTAATAAAACTTGAACTTGATGCCATTAAAGCTGTGGCTCCTCATTCAGCACGACCGGTTCGCCGTCGAGTTTACGGATGGTGGGCAACCTCTTGATGCACTCGGCCCTCCAAGAAGGTTCGTCTAATCCTTCGGATAGGGGATTCCCCACCACCACTAGATCTTCGAGGGACTCGATCTCAGCCAAGCGATTAAACTCCGACCAGTCCTTGATCAAATTGTTGCTTATGTAAAGAACTTTTAGACATTTTAGTCCTGTCAAACCTTTAATTTTCTCTATAAGATTATAGCTGAGCCACAGCTCCTCCAGCGTCTCAGCTACAGCCTCCTAAAAAACATTCACTACATAGTAACTTATATAATTTTTAAGGATTTTACCTATGTTCTCTTTACCAATCCTGAAATCTGTTTGATGTAGTTACGAGATAAAGACAATACCTTCAGGCACTTCATGCCCGATAAACCGAATATCTTTTCAATCATATTAGTGGACATGCTGATTCTCCTTAAAAAGGAAATATACATTGGTCAAACTTCCCTAAGAACATTTAAACTTAAACTTACTCGCACTGCACCAGCGTACCCAATGTGCTGTCCATTTTCTCGATGGGCGGCCACTGGAACTGCAGATCAATGTTCTTGGCCGTCAGGGAATTTTGTTGCTCCCGCTCCTCCCAGCGCTTCAGTGCCTCCTTAATTGTGGTTGCTTTGGACATGCTGCTGCATCGAAAAACTTTTACCCAATGGGCAAGAAAATTGGTGAAAACTAAACAAACTTCTTCGTTGCCAAGGTGAACCAAGGAAGGAACAAGTATCAATAGAGGCAAACTTTGTTTTTGCTGAACACCAACAAATGCGGAACTATCCTTTGAGGTAATCACCCTTTTCTGGAACTTTCGTTATAATAGACAAAGGATAATATAATTTGAGAAAGAAGTCTTTTGTTACGATTTCTCACTTACGTTTCTAAATGTATAATAGTCAGCTATAATCCTTTACAAACTAGGTGTATTATAAGATTCCTTTCTTCACTGAAAGCTAATATTAGTTAAATCTTGTAGCGTTTTACTTATTTGCCTTTCCTGTGAATGACCTCTTAACTGTTGACCCCAAAAAAGCAGCCACTAAAATGTTTTGTAAAAATACAATATTGTATTTCAAAGTGTTAAAGGGGCATAAAGATACATCGCTTAGTTTATACAGAGGGGTGGGCAGACCCACCAGGTAGAATCACTTAACCAGCCAGGGCTGTGGCGCTTAACGACGGTCCGTCTTGCCATTTCCACGCTTGCCGGAATACAAATGCTTGGGCATCTTGGTGCCGATGAAGCGATCCGCCTCTCCCTTGAGACCCCTGCTTGTGACCTTCTTGGCAATATCCCGCTTGGCCATGATCTGCGCCTTCTTGCGGATGGCCAGATTCTTGATGCCCAGCGAGTCGCGCGACGGCGCCCGCTTCAGTGGCAGACCAGTCTTCCTGACCACCGCCGAGGACTCCTTGTCGAGCAGCGGCTGCATGGGCACCTTCTTGGAGCCAACGGCCACCTGGCCACGACGCAGATCCACCACCGACTTGGTGAAGTTCGCGTTCTCGCTGCCGGACATGTCCACACCCAGACCCTCCATCGTCGACACCAGTTTCTGCACGGAACGGTCGCGCACCTTGGGCTGCTTGTTTCGTGGGATGACCGGCTTGTTCTTTCGCGACGACAATCGCTTCTCGTCGCGCAACTCGAAGCGCTTGCCTCGGATCTGCTTGGCCATCTCGCGGATCTCCTTGAGCGTCTCGTCCATGGTCATATCGGGCACTGTGTAGACGCCGCTCTCCTCCCGCAGACCCTCCTCGCGCTCCAGCTCCTCCAGCTTGTCGAAGATGTCGGCGTCGATGTAGTCGGCAATGTTGTGTCCCTGCCAGAACTCTGGAATTACATCGTAGCGCTCCTCCTCGGGGATTTCGCTGTAGTTCTTCTTGAGGTCCAGCGTGTAGTCGTCGCCCATCTCCTCCTCGATCTCCTTCTCCAGCTTGCGTTTGCGCTCCGCCTTCTCGGCATTCTGTTGGAGGCGGGCCGAAGCCTTTTCTGGGATGCAGGGTTCACGGAGTTTGTCATCGCGCGGCGCTGGCATGGCCACATGCAGGCGGTTCAAGATGTTGTCCACCTTCTTTGTGCGCATCTTCTGGTCCACGCGGTAGGAGAGCAGACGCTCGCATGCTTCGGTTTTCACCTCCATGACACCGGTTTCCTGAACGGTGGACATGAGCATCACGGGTATGTTCTTGTCCTCTTGCAGCTTGGTAATGATCTCCCTGCGCTCCTCTGGCAAATCCTCTGGAGTCAGGATATCGATCTTGTTGATGGCCAGGATCAGGGGTTTGTTGGTAAACAAAGGCTTGATGCTCTCGAACAGCTTGACCTGTTCCTCCAAGGAGTGGCCGCACTGCTCGGAAATGTCCATGAAGTACAGGACACAGGCGCGCAGATGGGCCAAAGCAGTGATGGCCTGCATTTCGATCACATTGCGTTCCTCCAGAGGATGATCCAGAATTCCGGGTGTGTCGATCACCTGCCAGCGCAGGTATTTGTAGTCTGTGTGGCCCACATACAGGGACTTTGTGGTGAAGGCATAGGGCTGCACCTCCACATCGGCACGGGTGATCTTGTTGATGAACGAGGATTTGCCCACATTGGGGAAGCCGCAGATGATGATGGTGCGCGAGTAGGGATCGATGGTGGGCAGACGCGAGAGATGCTGACGCACTTGCTCCAGATAGGTGAGGTTCGAGGCCTGTCGCTTCATGATGGTGGCCATGCGACCCAGAGCCGCTTTCTTCAGCTGCTTGCAGCGGTACAGAGAATCTCCATATTTCAGCAGGCGCACGTAGTCCTTAGCCACACTGGAAATAAGAATCGATATTAATAAGGAAAAACCGGTTCTGAAGTCGTTTTTGGACACTCACTTGTCCACCAAATGCCTGGCTGTGTTCAACTGACCCAGCGCCAGCTTGTAATGATCCTTGTCGTACAGCACATTCATCAGATCGGCGTAGAAGGGATGCACATCGTCCAGCTTGGGGAAATCCTGAATGATCTGCGACAAACGATCGTGGAAGTTCTGCTGCGTGTACTTCACCTTGCGGGTGTAGAACGCCCGAATTCTGGATATCTTGTAGCCCTTGTGGACCACTGTCGGTGTCTTACGCTGTGTCTTCGACAGCATAATGTCGATGAAGTCCTGAAAGGAAAGGATAAACCCATGGTATTATTTACATATTGCGCATTTGGTAAACACCTGCAGTGAGGTTATGTCGGGGCTCCAAGGGGTGCTCCGCTGGACGGCGGCTCCCAGGGACACTTACCTTGGCTGGCGGAACCACCATGATCTTCTTGAAGTTGTACAGACTCATCTTGGCAGGATTTGTTTATTTTCCAAGCGATAAAAGGAAAATAAATGGGAATCGACAGCAAAAACACCACGCGGTGTCAGCTTCGTATTCCAAAAAGAACCGTTTCTTGGGTGGAACCAGTTCAGGTTCACATGTGCTTGGCGAGGTTGCCACTGTTTATGATTGTTTTTCTCAATCTGACGATGTGGCATAAAATCCTTTGTAAATGAAATGTTTCCACTAAACAAATTAATTAACAAATAAATATAAAAATATGTATATAATCAGTGCATATAATAAAGAAAATTACTTTTGACAATATAATGAATTTAGATTAGCCGTACCATTTTTAATTTTTGAGCCAATTTTTAATAACCATTGTTGTATTGTATATCAGTGATCTGAAAATTTCCAAATATTTCTTGCAATAGAAGCAACAAGTGTAAATCCTTTTTACCTCTCACTCCATTTATAAGCGAATTTAATACAATATATAGACTTAGCAATATGTAAATCTAAACATTACCAATACAAACAACTTCCTTAAATATAATTTTAAAAGAATAAACAAAAAAGTAAAGATTCCACTGCAATGATACAAGCCAGTGGGAACATCTTAATCGACACGTAGGAACCAAAACAAAACAATTTGGGAACAAAAACAAAATGGATTCGGAAGCTGTGGGATCTGTGTTTCTCTCCAGAGAACAAATTACCAAGATATTAAGCGAGACGCCAGCGGGACTTATAAAACCCACCGATCCACCCTCACCTAGCCTGCCGCCCTTCAAGAAACTAGGAGTTCTCGTGGAAATTGATGATATAGTGGGCGACCAGGATAAGGCGGTGAAAATCAGTGACAAGGAGCAGTCCTACAGCTGCGCGGAATGTCGCAGGATGCTGCCCACGGCCCATTTACTGGATTTACACATCACCGAACAGCACGACTTCTACTTTGCCGCCAGTGTGGATCGAGGGGATAAGCCCATGTTTGCCTGCTTTCTGGAGGAGTGCACCACCAAGTTCCATACCCCTCGACAGCGCAAGGATCACTGCATTATAGTGCACAAGTTTCCGGCCAACTATAGGTTTGATCAGGGCAAGGATAAAGCCAAGGAAAAGCGTAAACCCAAAAGCAAAACGAATTCCATGGAAGTGGACGAGGTGCCCGCGGAGGCCAGAAGTTTGCCCTATATCAAGGCCTTTAGTTTTGGCCACCAAACGCATAGGACCTTTTATACCCGAAAGGTCCACAAATCTGGCGAAACTCTCGATGATGTCCAATCCATGAAGGATGCTATCAACGATATCTTGGATTAGATATTTATACAACTATTTATTTTGCGAATGAAGCAGCATTATCATTATCCTGGTACAACTACATTAGTCTGTTAGCGGAAACATGGTAGATCATTTTGCCTTGGCACTGGGCCTGTAAATAAAATTGAGTTTTATTGTTGATTCCCGGCTGCATTCTCTTCTTCTTCCGTGTGGATTACTTACTTTCCGGTATTAGCATTGATATAGTGATAGGCAACCACCAGCAGGAACAGGAACACGCCCAGGACGTTAGAGAAAATGGCCAATTGCACGTCGGTGATCATTTTGCAGAATGTCTAGAAAGGTTTTTAATCAATTAGAACCAAGTGGGCGAGTGACACGTCATGGGTGCGGGGCGTAAATTTCTAGTATTTCTGGTAATTCCTCGCCCAATTAAGGATCAGCGGAAGGTGGACCCTCTTCGTTGCCCTCGGAGCTACTCAAATTGTCCGATTTTCCTGTTTTAATTCAAGTATTTTACCTTTTTCAGCGAAAAACGAGCCGGTTTTTATTGTGTACAAATATTCTAGGGTGACCGTGCGTAGACCATAAAAATATACCAAAAGGTCTCACGCAGTTATAAGTTTTTAAATATACTAAATATACCAAAACAATAATAAGGTTATTCCACAAATGGCTCATGAACTTTTATTTAAAATTTATAAAAGTCAACATATAATATACTTTTTTAAATAATTTCTTTGTTCTGAAAATAAATATGGCTGTAATACTAAAACACGTAGTTTTAAGGAAAAATATTTTCTGCTGGTGCTCAAACTAAAACTAAGTTTAAAACCTAAAACGCGAAACTTTGAGTTTAAAAAATTACTTTTACACATATGTTGCAAAAAAGATCAATTTAAACCCTCTTCCCGAAATAAAAAAGCTTTAAGTTTCGGTTTTTTATTTAAATAAAAGAATTTGTAATTTTTAAAACAATCAATCATGTTTATTTGTTTCAGGCGTAAATTCAGCATATTTAATTAAAAATTATTTTACAACTCATTAAAACAGTGTCCAATGTTTTGTATTTAAATACTTTTTGCATTGAAACGGTTAGCGTAATTGAATCTTGTTGCAATTATAACTAAAACA